ATAAGTGGTTAAGTCACTAAGGTGTGTCATAACTTTCTCATGATAGTCTTTCTGGTTCAAAGTCACTCTGCACCTTCCTTTGTCTGCTGGGAGAATGATGATGTTTTTTGTCCTTGCTAAGAGTGGTGAGTGCATCCCTCTCCTCTCTACTGATGTTGGAACGTGGTGGTTGGGCATTGCTGACGCAGGCTGAAACTTTGATTCTGAGCTGTTCTGCTTCAGCCTCTTTAATTTTGTTGTTGCGGATGGCTGACTCAGTAGCTGTGATCATCTCCACCAGAGGAATTCTACTTGGTGCAACCGCAAAGTTCAGTCCCCTGGCAAGAATCTCTGTCTCCGGCTGGGTGAGCTGTCTGTCAGATAAATTCTTCACCCACTTTTCTGTCTCCCTGGCATGTAATTGACTACTGGAGTGTTGTCCTACACTGAATGTGTTGTTATGGGAATAGTGATGGTGTTGATGAGTTATTAGTACGTTAAACTTGTTTTGTTGTCGAGTCTTGGGCTTGACATGCTGTGCTAAGCGTGCCTGATCTGTACAGTCCAACATTTGCTGAAGTGTAGTCTGATCTAGACACATTGTTAGTTTCTGTTTAATGTGCTCTTCTTTGGCCTTCAAGGCCTCAATAGTAAAATTGGTCTGTCTCACCCGTTCATTCAGCAACTGGGTCTGTGCCTTCTGAAGGATCTTGCTTGCCCGCTGACCAACGATTTTAGTTCCAGGCTCTTGGGAATGATGCCACTTTGTCAACATCTGAGGTTAAATCGCAAGTGGTTCCTGTAGTCTGACCTCTTCCTTGCTGTTTTCTCAAACTCTCTTACTAGTTTGAGGCAATCCTGGCCAAAGTGATTCAAAATATCCTGATACATGCCCAATAATCCAGGTAGAAAAATCCAAAAAAGATCAATCTGGTCCTCTGGACATTCAAAAAACAAGAAAAAAAAAAATGTATTCTGCGGTCTACACTCATCTCCAGGCCAGCGGACACTCTTTCAGGGATGAAGATGTTCACATCCTGGACAGAGAGGAACGATGGTTTGAGAGAGGAGTAAAGGAGGCCATCTTTGTGAAAAGAAATGATGGTTCGTCCATCATTAAACAGGGGTGGAGGCCTCCGGGTTCAACTGTCCCCCTCTTACAATGCTATGATTACTAGTATCACTCAACCCCCTGTGAATAGTAAACAGCAATCAATGTGCTAATGATCCATTGTTAGGCTGATGGTCCTTCTTGACCATGTGAGCAGCTGGTTTTGGTTGTCAGCAGCAAACTGGTTGATACACTCTGAGAAGGTGCTATTTAAGAGACTGAGCTGAATACAGCACCTCAGACTGAGGAAGTCTCTCGGATGAAAGACGAAATGTTTCTAAATTTTTTTGCTTTGTTTTTATTTTTTTTATTTTCTTGTTTTTTGAATGTCCAGAAGACCAGATTGAACTTTTTTGGATTTTTCTACCTGGATTATTGAGCATGTATCAGGATAAAATGGAAGACTGTTCTGTGGTCAGATGAGTCACGATTTGAAGTTCTTTATGGAACACTGGGACGCCATGTCATCCGGACCAGAGAGGACAAGGATAGCCCAAGTTGTTATCAATGCGCCGTTCAGAAGCCTGCATCACTGATGGTATGGGGTTGCATGAGCACTTGTGGCATGGGCAGCTTGCATGTCTGGAAAGGCACCATTAATACAGAGAACTATGTTCAGGTTCTAGAACAACATATGCTCCCATCTAGACGTCATCTCTTTCAGGGAAGACCCTGCATTTTTCAACACGATAATGCCAGACCACATTCTGCAGCAATCACAACATCATGGCTACGTAGGAGAAAAATCTGGGTACTGAAATGACCAGCCTGCAGTCCAGATCTTTCACCTACAGAGAACATTTGGCGCATCATAAAGAGGAAGGTGCGACAAAGAAGGCCCAAGACGATTGAACAGTTAGAGGCCTGTATTAGACATGAATGGGAGAGCATTCCTATTTCTAAACTTGAGAAACTGGTCTCCTCTGTCCCCAGATGTCTGTTGAATGTTGTAAGAAGAAGGGGGGATGCCACACAGTGGTAAAAATGGACTTGTCCCAACTTTTTTGGGATTTGTTGACGCCATGAAATTTGGAAACAACAGATTTTTCCCTTAAAATGATACATTCTCTCAGTTTAAACTTTTGATCTGTGATTTGTGTTCTATTCTGAATAAAATATTAGATGTTGGCACCTCCACATCATTGCATTCAGTTTTTATTCACAATTTGTTTAGTGTCCCAAATTTTTTGGAATCCGGTTTGTAGTTAGTCAGCTTGCAAGTCCAGTCTTACTTTTTCCAGTGTGGTCACAAGCTTTTCACACTAGTGCGGTTCTCCTTCGGAGATGCAGTCCGCCATGTTTATTCCTTCATGTGTGAAGGTGATGTTGGGGGCTTCTAGTACTTTAGATAACCTGTGTTGTCTTAAAGCGGTCATAATAAAGCATTGAGAATTTACATATGCCACTACACTGTGTGTGGTCAGTACCTGTAAGGCGTGTCCCATGACAATATGTGCTGTTTTCTGAATTAATTTTGCAATCCCTGCTGCGTGTTGTGTGCATGGGGGGTGTATGTTTTTCCATATTATCCATCATTGTCGATAAGTACTGTAGTACCTTTCTCTCATCCCTTTATTTCTGGAACAAAATGCCATTTATGGCTAGTTTTGTTACAGAAGCATCTAGAAAGAAGGATAAGTTGTAATCAGGTAATGTTAGTTCAGCTGCAGATGACATGTGCTGTTTGAGTTTTATGAAGGTTTCTTCAGCTTCTTGTGTACATATTAGAATGTTGTTCAAGTTTCTCATGCCCTTTTCTTTGATCAGGTCCCTCAGGGGTTGTGTCAGATCTGAGTAGGCTGGACTATAGCCTCTGCTGTATCCTGTTAGTCCCAGGAATGAGAGAATGTCTTTGACTCGTGAGGGTTTTGGGTGTGTTAGTATGCTTTGTTTGTGTGTGTTTGACATACTAGTGGTCCCTGCAGAGATTAAACATTTCACTAATGTTCACTGTTTATGTTCATGTTCTCCTGACAGGAGCCTCTGACCCAGATGTGAGGAGGACAAAAGAAAAGTGAGGTGGGGGCCACAGGACAGTCACAAACTTTGTTGTTAAAAGTTTGCTGCTTTTTCTACAGTGGAGCTGCACGGTGGAGGTAAGTAAACTGTAAAGGATTTTGTTGACCAGTTAAGCTTTTATCTCTCAGCCTAGATAATGTTTTTTGAGTAATAATAACACAACCATGTTATTGTTGATGTGTTGTTCTAATGTCAATTAGGGAGATGATCAGAGTCCTAAACCCCAGAGAATCACAGAGAAGATTCAGGCAGAGACACAGAGGTGCAGATGTCTGCATCACCCCTACCTCAGTGAATCCAGTGACTTGCTGGTGGGATGTGAGGGACACTATGTCAGTGCTATCAAACTGACAACCAGGTGTCTGTGTGTGCAACAATCATCATCTACAGCCTCAGAGTGAACATTTCCTACTGCTGGAGACACCATCAGCCAGGAGTGGGCTTGTTTGTGTCCAGAGAAAGCAGACATGTTGATGTTTCTGAAAAAAAAAAAAAACCTGTTAAGTGAAAAGGTCCTCAGTGTGTAGCAGTGATCATTAGACACTGACGTGTCACTGGTTTGTAACTGGTCTTTTGACATGGAAATTATTTGTTTGTTTTTATGTAAGAAAACTGCTTGGAATAGAAAAATAACAAAGTTAAAAAATAAAACTCACAATTTGTACTGTAACGTGTAACATAATTTTATTCTTGTTAGAATTAATAGTAATTACAAAATTGTTATTGAAAAAAGAACCGTCCAGGAACCGACACAGAAGTGAAAGTACCGACACCGGTACCAATTTTTTTAGAAAGGTACTCAGTCCTATTCAAGCAGGTGCATCAGGCATTAGGTGGAAATTTCCTGTGTCTCCACAGCACAGATATCCAATTCTCTTTAAATAAAGGATATTCTGTTGTTCTTTTTCCTGACACAACAGGCAGACCGATCACGTAACCTGGATTCCCACTGAACTGGACCTCCACATCTCCACCGTCCTCCTTCCAACAAGAGACACACATTTACCTGAAGTTAGTGCCAAAATGTATACATATTACAAATGTTCTTTGTTTAAACCCTGTTTTCATTTCCAAAAGTTGCCTTAATGATCAGATTCAGTCAACTCTAGGCCCGCATTTAAATTTGTAGAAGAAATCAGTGGTCAACTTGATGGATCAAAGAAAACAAAAAAGAAAATCAACCTTGCAGAGGTTGTCCCTATACAAGCGGTGCAAGAGTTTGGTTTGCATTGCCATTAGTAAGTCGGACCCCTTCAGGGTGGGAGTTGGACAGCTGCCCGTTGTCACTGATTCTGTTCATAACTTTTATTGACAGAATTTCTTGGTGCAGCCAGAGGGCAGAGGGAGACCAATTTGTTGGCTTCAGGATTCCTTCTCTGCTCTTTGCAGATGACATGGTCCTGTTGGTTTGGTCGGTTTACGTTCCTATCCTCACCTATGGCCACAAACTCTGGGTGACCAAAAGAATGAGATTGTGGATACAGGCGGTTGAAATGTGTTTCCTCTGCAGGGTAGCTGGACTCTCCCTTAGAAATAGGGTGAGAAGTTCAGTAATCAGGAGAGACTCAGAGTAGAACCACCGCTTCTCTACATCGAGAGGAGCCCGTTGAGGTGGTTCGGGCATCTGGTATGGATGCTTTCTGGGCGCCTCCCTAGGGAGGTGTTTCCGGCATGTCCAACTGCGAGGAGACCCCGGGGAAGACCCAAGACACACTAGAGAGACTACGTCTCTTGGTTGGTCTGGGAACACCTTGGGGTCCTGCCGGAAGAGGTGGCTGTGGAAAGAAATGTCTGGACCTCCCTGCTCAAGCTGCTGCCCCGAGACCTAACTTCGGAACAAGCAGAAGATAATGAATGGATGGATGGATGGAAGTAGTTCCTCGTACCTGAATATAAAAGAGCTGAAACTCCTGCTTCAACACCACTGCAGCTTTGTGGACAGAACCGAGCACCAGGGACACCGAGACATTCACCAACCCACCTGCTGAGTTATACTTGATCACATAAACAACCTGAGAAGACAAGAAACAGCTGAAAGTGAACATCTGTTAGCAGCTGTCCAATTCACCTGGAACTAAGGAAGTGGTACACTGATGCCACCCGTTTCTGAGGGACTTGAATAATGAATGTTTGTAATTTTGGAGATGAGCGTTGTTTTGGAATGGAACTGAACAGTAAATGCAAGTTAACCTTAATGTTTCTGGTGTAAGATATTAAAAACTGTAGGACTTATACTGAGTAGAAGAACAGAAGTAGTTTTTGAATATGTATTTTGTCTGAGGCAGGGTATAGTGACAGATCCTGGGGAGTGGAGGGATCAATTTTATCTACCATCAGATGTAATGGTGAAGCCAGGGGGTTGGCCAAGGGGCTTTGTGCAAAATCACATTTTTCTGTATAAAAAGTGCTGTTTCATCTGAATGTGAATTCACACAGCGGTTCTCCTGTTTATACACAGCTGGGTTGTTGAATAAAGAACGTTGGTTACGTACTGTAACCCCAGATTCTATGAGTATGAGCGTAGCCCTTTAAGGCTGTCGCTGATGGGTTTATCCCGATATGCGTAGCATTGCACTGAAAAAAAATTTAGTCCACGCCCACCTGCTGTGTGGGCCCCACCCGGTCCGTATAAATTACGTTAAGAGCGGGAAATCGGCTCCCAAAATAGCTTTTTCTTCAGCCATTTAGGAGCCAGTGAGGCCCGACGCTTAAAGGGCTAGGCTTATACTCATACAATCTGGGGTTACAGTACGTAACCAATGTTCTATTTCGTATAAGCTTTGCCCTTTAAGGCTGTTGCTGATGGGTTAAGGATGAAGCAGATGTGGTCCTTGCCTCACTGGGTCCATTCGAACACCGTATGAATCAGAAGTTTGCCCAAAAAACGTCTTTTCACTCAGCTCCCCATGTGCGTAATTACGCATTGCGTAATTATGTGTGCCATGCACAGACGCATGTTGTGTAACTATGCGTTCTGAATGCATGAACGCCCTGGAAAAATCAACAGGGAAGGAAAAATGCTGAAAAGAGCCATGAACCAACCGGTTTATGGCTGAACAGTATGAACAGATTAATAATAACAGGAGAGCTGATTATTAATCAAATGAACTGATTGGTAACAATAGTCGTGAACTGATTAGTGAAAATAGAACCAAAATAACAATCACAACTTGTGACTGATACCAACATCTCACACTGTAATGCATGCAGACAGATGTGAGTTAAACGGAGTTCCATGAAACAACAATATTCATTCTGTAAAACACTAAAGACAGAATGTGTCATGGAACGAGCCGTCACATCACGTAGATAAAAGCGAATGAATGAGCAGGGTGTTGACCACGCGGCCGCAGTGCAAAAAGTCCTACATTATCATACCATTATGCAAGGCAGTCGAAGATGCGATACCCCTGGTCGAGTGTGCTCTGAGGTTGACAGGAGGCTCTAAATCTGATGCTCTGTAAGCTTCAGAAATGGCCTCACACAGCCAGTGTGACAAGCGCTGGGTGGATAACGGGCGACCTGCAGGTGCATCTCTATAATGCACAAACAAATGTTGAGTTTGACGCATTGCAGCTGTGAGTGTTATGTAACACGTCAACGCCCGCACCAGACAGAGAAGATGGAAAAACACCTCTTCTTCTGATTTATGGGGGGGAACGTAAAAACCCCTCCAACGATATCACCCTTGATTTAAAAGAGCTCGTGATGTTTTAGGCATAAAGCTGGATTTGGTCTTAAATCAGCCTGAATTCTAAAACATGATGGAGCGACAGAGAGGGCAGATAATCACTCACCCTCTTAGCGGATGTTAAAGCCAGCAGCAGGGTTGTTTTAAGAGAGAAGAATTTAATTGGGACCTGATCCAGAGGCTCAAATGGAGCTTTGATCAGGGCTCGCAGGACCAGCGTTAAAACCCACTGTAGAGCAAGTGGGAGAAACAGACCTGCGTCTCTGTACACCTTTTAGAAAACGCTTCATCAGCGGCTGATTAAAATCTGTTCTGTCTCCGAACTCTTTGTGGTGTACGTTTTAATCGTGCTGGACGCCAAATTTCTGTCCATCAACTGTTGTAGAAAGGACAGCATGGCACCTAGTGGACATGAGATGACCTCTACACCTTTCTCAATACACCAGCGCTGAAAAACTGTCCACTTTGATGTGTACAGCGCTGTGGTAGATGCAGCACGTGAATCCTGGATTGTGCGCACTACATCATGTGGGAGACCCATCCTCTCTAAGCGGAACCGCTCAGTGGCCAGACCCACAGGTGCTGGCCTATTTCTGGGTAACTCCTGATCGCTCCTCCTGCCTGGAGGAGAGCATCCTCCCTCCATGGCAGTTTCCATGGGCGCCCTGACAGCAGGCGTTGTAGGACTGAGAACCATGGTGCGTTCACGCGCTCGGGGGGCCACCAGGAGAGCTGTCAATCCCTCCTCCTGAACTCGGTTCAGGAACCGTAAAATCAGAGGAGGTGGGGGAAACGCATACAGAAGCGTTTTGGGCCATGGGCTGTGGGCAAACGCATCCACCCCCAGCGGTGGTTCGTCTCGCGGGCTCAGAGAAAACCATAGTTGACAATGAGCATTTTCTCGTGTCGCAAACAGGTCCACAGCTGCTTTGCCAAATTTCTGCCACGTCTGAGTCATCTGGTCTGGATGGAGAGTCCAGTCCCCGTGACGTGGACCGCCCCTGGACATCACATCTGCCCCTTTGTTCAGAACACCGGGTATGTAAACTGCTCTGATGGAGAGCAGATTTTGGTGAGCCCAAGACAGTAGCTTTTGCGCAATGTGTAACATCTGCGCTGAGCGCACACCCCCCTGCCGGTTTATGAAAGCAGCAGTCACCTTGTTGTCTGTGTGAATCAAAATGTGTTGATTCTGTAGCACAGGAGCAAAGTGTTGAATCACGTTCAGCACCGTGCGACACTCCAAAACATTTATGTGGCCAGATGTGTGATGGGGCCACAGCGCCCCTACTGCTTGAGATAGGCATGTCCCCCCCCCAGCCTGACAACGACGTGTCCATGAAGACTGGCACGGTGATGTGGGTCTGCTGACGGGGGCTCCCTCCGACAGAACCAGGGTGTTTCCCCAGTGTCGGAGGTCTGCCCTCACGGAGGGAGGAACAGTGATCATCCATCTCTTTTGTTTTTCTGGATCCACACGCAGACGTGCAAACCACCTCTGGAGGCGTCTCATGTGTAATAAACCCAGCGGGACAACTGTGTGAGCTGATGACATCATTCCTAACAGCTTCATGACTGAGACGGCTGTTACCACTCTGCCAGGTCTTACGAGACGGAGCTGGTCTTTTAAAGTGTCGGTTCTCGTTTGTGATAAACGAGCCCTCATGGTAGTTGAGTTAGCTCCACTCCCAGATAAACAATTGTCTGGGCCAGGAAAATTGAGCTTTTCTTCCAATTCATGGTGAAGCCCAGATTTAACAGGTGTGATGTCAACACCTGAGGCTGCATCACTGCTTCCTGTCTGGAGCGTGACAGCAGCAGGTCATCCAGGTAAAACAAAACTCTCATCCCTGCTCTGTGTAACGGATGCAGGGCTGTCTCCACACACTTTGAGAACGCATGAGGCGCGAGAGGATAACCAAACGGCAGCCTGTTGTACTGATACTTCATCCCTTGAAAGGAGAAACGCAGGAATTTTCTGTGTTTTGGGATGATAGGTATGTTAAAATAAGCGTCTTTCAGGTCGACGGAAAACAAACCAGTCGTTTCTCTGGATGTTGTCCAACAGCTGTCTGGTTGTCAACATGTGAAACGGTCTGTCCATGATCGCCTTGATGAAAGCTGACAGATCCAAAATCGGTCTCATCCCTCCGGTCCGTTTGGGAACCAGGAAGTAACGTGAGTAAAAACCTGTGTTTTTCTCTCCGTTGGGAACTCTGGAGATTACTTCTTTTATCAGAAGCTCTTGGACTTCTGCATTTAGGGATGAGATTTGGTCTGGTGATGACAGGACCGTCTCTAAAATTCCTCCAAACGGAGGGGGTCGGGTTGCAAATTGCAACGTGTAACCTTTGCATAACACCCTGTCCATCCATCTGTCTGGCGAGCATGTTTTTAGCCACTCCACGTAACGTTCGTGGAGTGGACATGCGTTTAAGTGATGCGTCATGTTCTGTACGGATTTCAACCAGTCCACCGCCTCGACCGCTGTCATGTGTCGCGGGAATGTTTTCCGCGTGACCCAAAGCGAGGCTTCCTCGAAAGGGCTCTGAACGCGCCCGTGTGCTGCGTTCTGACTGCGGACCAACCTTCATGTCTAGGTGGGCCGGTGTGTGCTGAGGCGAAGCGTGGCAGCTGATGACGCCATGGGGCTGCGCGTTTGACGCCACTGTGGTGAAAACGCGTGTCGCTCCTGCCGCGTGCGGTGTCCTGCGCTGGGTTCGCTTTGAGATCTCGCATCTATGCCGCCATGAGCAGGCGAACACTGCAAAGCTTTGAGTTCGATTTCATCTACGCTGTTTGAGTGAAGACTGCGAGCCCCGCGGGAGCACACGTTTTCTCAGGTGGGACGCGCGCCGCTCTCGCTAGAAGCGAGACTCATCACTGGGTTCGCTCAGCTGTCTCACGCTTATGCTGCCGTGAGCGGCCAAGCGCTGAGACGCGGTGGATGAAGGCTGCCCGCGCCGCGGCGGCATGCGTTTTCTTTGATGCGGCGTGTGTCGCTCTCACTGAGAGCATGGTCCTCCACCGACCCGACCTATGGTCCCACATTTATGCCGATGTGGGCCAGTGAACTCCGGGGAGCTGTGTGTGCACCATCATCAACGCAACGCCGTTTGGGTGAAGGCTGTTTGCGTTGCGTGAGTGCGCGTTTGACACCGCTTGGGTGAGGATCGTGCAGCTCGGGTTGACAACGAGTTATTTCGCTTACCATTGTGAGGTGTGAGCGTCTCGTCATGTCTTAAAGCAACGGTGAGTTTAAAAAACCCTTATTAAAGACACCGTCTCGTTATGTGTGGAGGGTGTGTGCGCAGCCACTGT